AAGATGGCGCCAGACAGTCAACGATAGCGGAGTGACTCGTTAAGCATATAAGTAGTACCGGTCAAGATAACTCGTAGTACACGGATGAATGGTGTGTTATTCAATTTGGCGGTTGTTATCTGTGAATAACATACCGCTGGATGGCACGATTGACCAATCAGAATCAAGTATTCCACAGAGCCGTGTAATAATATTCAATATTTCACCCCCTTGTGGATGCCCATCAAATCAGCTTCAATCATTTTTATCTTTGTGTTTGTACAGTGATGAAACGGCCTCTCTGAGTGAATTCTATCCCATCATTCCTGGTGACGTCATGTCTGTGAAGGAAATCCTGACTGAACCCAAGTTCCCACGCAACCGGACATGGTACTGACACACACACACACACACACACACTACACCAGACATGGTACTGACACACACACACACACACACACACACTACACCAGACATGGTACTGACACACACACACACACACACACACACTACACCAGACATGGTACTGACACACACACACACACACACACACACTACACCAGACATGGTACTGACACACACACACACACACACACATACACACACTACACCAGACATGGTACTGACACACACACACACTACATGGCTTTAGCAGGAAGTGAACATGTCTTTGGTCACCTTTTGGTAATAAGCTGACATGATGACATTGTTTAAGAGCTTTGCTTTTTTAAACCCCAGTGAAGGTCACAGCTGTCCTGCTGAACATCTGAAAGGTTTAAATATAATATGATGGAGTCTCAGATGCTGCTGGGACACGGCAGGCCAAGACATGATTTACATGACAAACCCTTTTATCAGCGGAGCCGTCCACATCAACTCATGACTGGGTTTATCATATCAAAATCTCTCAAACATTCATAGGAGATTTATATCATAAATAAACACTGAAACATGAACACAGTTTTGAATTGCATTGCATTAAAAATCGGGCACATACAAATTCATCCAGCAAGAAAAAACGTGCAGGAGCAGCAAACACACACAAAAAACCCTGTCTAGGTCCAAATCAAAAGAAAATTTTTTGGAGGGGGGAGCCATAAAGATTTTAAAGATAAACCATAAATTAAAACACAATACAGTGGTAGTTAGTTAGTTAGTTAGTTAGTTTGTTTATTTGTTTATTTATTTACTTATTTACTTACCCATTTGATTTTGTGGTGAAATATGAACTGAACATGCTTTTATAATATATATAAAATTAATATATATTACTATTACTTTTACTACACACACACATATATATATATATATATATACGTATATATAATATAATAAAATAAAATAAAATAAACATTTTCAGCCTTTATTTATTTATCTATTTGTTTGTTTATTTATTTTTAGAGTAAAAAATTTTAATACAAGAAGTTTGGTAGTTCTTTTTTTCCCATTTGATTTTGGGGTAAAATATGTCATGAGCATGTTCTCAATAACATCAAAGTATTATCTAAAACAGCATTTTTATTTTTTTTATTTTATTTTTTTTTTTATTTATTTATTTATGAGTAAAAAATGTTTAATGCAAGAAGTAAAACACAATAAATTGGTAGTTTGTTTATTCATTCATTCCCATTTGATTTTGGGGTGAAATATGATCTCAACATGTTCTTGGCAGGTTTGAAATATCCGCTCATTTTGAACAAACTAAAGCAGCTCTCTTATTTTACCTTCAAACCTTCAGTTTTTCTCTTCCTCTCTGTGCTGTGGCTTCTCCCCTGCTTAGCATTATGGGAAGGGCACGTTCGCTGTATTCACCTCTCACGCTTAACAGGTTTACCTGCAATTGACAGCCGCTTTAGTTTTGAGACTGGTAATCCTGTTCAAGAAGCCGGTCATGCTCCTCCGGCGGAGGGTTACGGCACAGAAAGAGCTCGGGAAAACAGTTTCTGATGAAAAAGGTCACTTCAGTAAATCAAGCCTCAAATGCAGGACGGATGATTGGAGGATGAGTGATAAAGCCTGTCAGGACTGGATCTGGCCTGGAATGAAGGTCAAGCAGAGTCTCGCTGTGGTTTTGTGTTTAAGTGAAGGTGAGACGAGAGAGACGGGATCAAGTGTTCATCTCGTAAAGTCAGTCGCTCATATGAAGTAGTGTCACGCTCTGTCTCATTTTCACACGTACAGGCAGAAGAATACACTTGTCAGTCCTCGTCTGAGCAGCACGACACAGACAGCTTCAGCTGCTGGCATCTGTTTTGTTGAGACACCGAACATTGCGAAATGTTTTCCGATATGTAAACTGGATGAGACTGAAGGTCAGCTCAGGGTTTGAGATGAAGGAAGCAGGGGCGTAGATGACATGCCCCTGACATGTCCCCTGACAGTGTGTTTGCATAGAGGTTTTCAAGAGCGGTGTGAATAAATATAGATTTAAATTCAAAGAGACAGGATAGTTTGTGCATGACCTGATGTTTTATTCGGACCCAGAATAAGGCAAGATTAAAGGGTCAGTTCACCCAAAAATGAAAAATACAAATTAAGATATTTTTGATGGAATCTGAGAGCTCTGACCCTGCATAGACAGCAATGCAACTGAAATGTTCCCAAGTCCAGAAACATAGCAAGGAGATCTGTAAAATAATCCATGTGACATCAGTGTTTCATCCGCAATTATACGAAGCTACGAGAATACTTTTTGTGCGCAAAAGAAAAAAAAAGAACGACTTTATTCAACAATTCGTCTCCTCCGCATCACCCTGGTGCCATTTTGGAGAATATCTGCTGGACGTAAACAACGTATGCTGTTCTGTTCGGCCGCCCTATTCACCTGTAACCAAAAGAGGAGGATGAGGCGAAAAGGATGGCTCTCGGCCCTTATCCTCACTCCAGTGTCGGCTCCAGCCCCCGAATCCAGCCCACGGAGGGCTCCTGTTCCTGAGTTTAGCCCAGAGAGCGCTCCAGTCCCCGAGTTTAGCCCAGAGAGGGCTCCTGTCCCCGAGTTTAGCCCGGAGAATGTTCCAGTCCCCGAGTTTAGCCCGGAGAATGCTCCAGTCCCCGAGTTTAGCCCAAAGAGGGCTCCTGTCCCCGAGTTTAGCCCGGAGAATGCTCCGGTCCCCGAGTTTAGCCCGGAGAGGGCTCCGGTCCCCGAGTTTAGCCCGGAGGGGGCTCCAGTCCCCGAGTTTAGCCCAGAGAGAGCTCCAGTTAGGCCTACAGAGGGCCTCTGAAACCGACATTCTCCCGAAGGATTTTTTTGAAGGGGGGTAGTAGGGGTCCGTCCATGGAGGCCGGGCCGAGTGCCGAGGCCAGGCTCCCTGAGCTCCCTGTTCCGCCATGGCGTCCTGAACTGTCTGCTCCGCCATGGGTCCCGGAACAGGTACCACTCTGGAGGCCTGCTATCCCGTGTCTGTCCTGAGGGGCCTCCAGAGTGCCCACCCCCCTTCCCCGTTGGATGTTGTGGGGCACGTGGACGCGCCTTCCTGGAGGGGGGAGTAATGTCAGTCCTGTGTCTTGTGTTTTCCTCCCCCACGTGCTCCATGTTATGTGTATGCCCTTATTTGGTCTTCCTGTTCCTGCCCTGATTGTGTTCATTTGTTTCCAGCTGTGTTTTCCCTCATGTCATCATGTTCATTGTTTCCAGGTGTTCCCTCATTAGTTTCCATGATTTAAGCCCTGTGTGTTTCCATGTCTAGCGTGCTGTCTTAAACGGCGATCCCCGTTCCTACGTGTGTGTTCCTTGTTCCCTTTGGATTAATAAAGACTGTTATAGTAATTCTCCTGCGTTCTCCTCGTTCCTCGGTCCTTGTTCCTTGCTCCTCACCGTAGGCACACCGTGACACATATTATATTTCTATCTTATATAAATATAAAGATGTGTATCTTTATATTTAATAGAATTGTTGTTTACTCACTTTATGTATTTATTTATTTATTTATCTTTTTTATTAATATAATGATATGTATCTGTCAGACAATTTAATTTTTTCTCTTGTTTTCTCTTATTTGTCTCTCTTGTTTTTGTTTTAAATGTGTATTTATTTATTTATATCTATCTATTTTAAATTATATTATTTTTATATCTTATTTTAATATAAAGATATGTATCTTTCAGACAACAGAATTATAGTTTTTCTCGTTTTCTCTTATTTTTGTTGTAAATTCAATTTATTTATTTTGTATTATACTATTTTTTATGTCTTATATTAATATAAATATAAATCAAAAAAGCAATGCATGGCCTCTAACGTGCTGATATTATTAATTTGCTTTTTTATATATTTATATATTTTAATTTTAGTTTAAGTTTTAGTCATTTAGTAAACATTTCTAATTTTCAATGTTCATTTAAGTTTTTTTTTTTAGTTTTTTTTTTATTTCACTTCTATTTTAATTATTAGTTTTAGTTTTAGTTAACAATAACAACACTGATATACAGATCGGTCCAGAAGTCTGAGAACGCTGTTTGAAATGCTTTTATTCTGCATCATAATTTAAAATGTAATTTTTATGTATTTTAATGTGTCATTTTTACATTATCAGATTGACAATTTATGGTCATCTGTTTTGCAAAAATGGCAGCAGCACTGGAGCTACACAAACAAAATCTGACGATCATGTTCTCGATGATCCAAAGAGCATCTCGAGCTTCAATAGAAGAAAATCTGGTGGTCACATGATCAATGACACTCATTTACATACACTTGATTAGTCACAGAAAGGGTGCACTGAAATATTAGTGCACAAAATCCTAAAACTTTCAGGTTTAATTAGGATTATATAATGATCGGATGAATAGAAATAACAAAAGAGCAGAAATGAGAGGGAGCATTCATTGTCTCTGCAGATGTGTTTTCTGTCTCCGTCTGAAACTGGATTAATCCTTTTCACATTCATGTGTAAATAAGATAGACCATTATGGTGATTTTTCATCCCTGTGTCTTTCAGGCTTAGTCTTTTAGACTCTCTCAGCATAAGTGCTTTCATCTGAATCTCTGCGCTCATCACTCTGACGGCGCCGCTGCACTAAAGCGAAACTGTAAAGTGTCAAAGTGAAGAATGGCAACTTCTAATTGCACTCAGACGTTTTAAATCACCTGATATCGACCTTGAGGATAACTGGCATTTGTTTGTCTCCCGCTGCATTCGTCTGCCATCGGGATTCACAGTGAGATCCTCAGCCAGCGTTCCTGCTGAAAGTTCACCTTCAAATCATCCTTTGAAACCTTTTGTAAAAAGTTTTCACTTTTGTGCTGTGTTGAAAACCCTATGACTCCTATGGTGTTCCCTGTCAAAAATGACCGGCCCTTTAAAAGTTGCTTGTAAATCACTCGTTAAGCTATATTATCACCAAATGTTGAATTCAATATTTTTGTCAGCTTGTTTTCTTTCTGTTAGCACAGGTTTTGTGTTTCTTTTTTATGGTAGGCCGGTCATTTTTTACCAGGAAAACTGCAAGTTTGACTCTGTGCCATTTTGTACAAAATAAAAGCATTTCAAGACAAATTTCCTGGTTAACTTTTGTTTTGTTGAAATCACAACAAAAAATAAAACAAGAGAAAAATATAAATATATAAATAAATTTACAACAAAAATAAGAGAAAACAAGATAAGATAATGTTATTGTCTGAAAAATGCACATCTTTATTTTATTATAAGAATAAATAATTAAATATGCTTTTATTTTGTACAAAATGGCACAAAGTCACACTTGTGGTGTTTCTGGTCAACAATGACCAGAAAAAAAATTGCATATAAATATCTCATTTTGCTATATTATCACCAAATATTGGATTCAGTCTGTTTGTCCAATATTTGGTGATAATAATATAGCATAACAAAGCAGTTTCTAAGCTATTTTTTGCAGGCTGGTCATTTTTGACCAAGAACAGCACAAGTGTAAAAAGGTGGGGGGAAAAATCCCCCAAAAAGTACAAAAAAAAATCTAAAAAAAATTGGGGGAAGTTGATATTCCCTGTGTGATCAAAGTCAGAAAGTTTTAGTCCAGTTTGACGACATATTAATCTCCTCTCCAGGTCAAAATGACCGGAACACACCATAAAAAATTTTTTTTTAAATTCAAACAAAATAGAAAGCTTATATAAATTATAATAAAATATAAATTAATTAAATCATAAAATGATCAATTAAAATAAATAATTTTAAAATACAAACAAATCAAAATAAAACAATTACTAACAATCAGTTAAACCCTAAAAATGTAAAATACAAATAAATTAGAAAAAATATATAAAAAAGTAATAACATTGCATCTTGCAACCAAGACTGTTTTTCTGACCTTTGACCCCAGGGAGGCCCTGAGAGAGACGCTGTCCAGTGATGAGCTGCACGAGAGGGACCAGTGGACGCTGTTCGGGAACGAGGCTGAGAAACTGGAGATCGGTGTGATCAGAAACCAGCGTGTCGTCCGTGAGCGTGTGGATCGATTGGCTCTGCGCCGGGAGGTGAGTGAGTGAGTGAGAGAGAGCAGCGTTAAAATACAACAATCACAGCTCTGCACCTCTCAAGACACCTGAGTTCTTTCACTTTCTAGTTTTAAAGGAATCATTTATCCCGAAATTAAATTTCTGGATTCATTTACTCACCCTCATGCTGTTTCGAACCCCTACAACTATATTTTTCCTGACTATCCTGGTCAGGTTTTTTCAATGAAGTGAAAGTAAATGGGGACAGAACAAAAACACCATAAAATCATTATAAATTAGCTTATAATTATACATTATAAATTAATTCTGTTATAGAATTATATTATAAAGCTTTTATGACAGATTTTTGTGAAAAACAGACTTGTAACAGGGATATTATAGTAAACTCAAACCATAAAAAATATGGTTTATAATTTTATTTCTAAACATTACTTTAAATTAATAAATTAAATACAAAAAAAGATATTTCAGCTACTTGCATGGCAACATTTAATTTAATTGAACTGAAATAGCTACATATACTGAAATAAACAAATAAGAATTATTAAAAACAAAATAGACTTTTTTTTTTTTAAATACTAAAATGACAAAAAAAAACACATCAAAATTATTATAATTTTAACTAATTAAAATGAAAGTGGACAATATAAAAATATAAACAAATTCAAAATATGAATAAAAACTATAATAGTATCTCAAGAATGCTAAAGTAATAAATGGGGACAGAACAAAAAACACCATAAAATCAATATAAATTAGTCCATATAACCTGTGTTATATTTTAAAGCTTTTTATGATACAATTTGTGCGACATTTGTTTGAAAAACAGACTGAATCAGACTAAAACTCAGAAATTGGTAGCACATTTCACAAATAATTACAAAGAAACTGCAAGTAACACTGAATTTAACGTGAAATTTTGAAGTAGACTGAAATAGTATTTTGTACAAAACACTTGAATAATCTTTAAAACTTACAATATGGTGTTTTTATTACAATAAAATAAAACAAATTTTACAGTGTTGTTGCCAGGGTAATATTTCTCATTTTCATTTAGTTTAACTTGATGTACTAAAATAAATAAAGCTAAAACTTAACTATAGAGACATCTTTTCTTTTTTTTTTTAATGACAAAAACACAACATTTTTTCAGAGTAAATGATGACAGAACTGCTTGTTATGCTTCAGGCCGAGAGAAAAGCTTCTTTGCACATGAAGTTGATTGAGGATCTGAGCATGAAGGCTCCTGATTTCCCCGTCCCGCTGCGGCCGCACACGGTGTGGACCGGGATGGACGTCAAACTCTCCTGTTCGGTTCAGGGGTGCCCGCTTCCCAGCGTCACATGGTGAGAGTCTCAACAAACCTGTATCTCCAAAACAAAAGAGCCTCAATCTCCAAAGACAGACGTGTGTGATAGCAGAGTGTGAATCTTGTCGACAGGTATAAGGATGACGTTCCTCTCCGAGGATCTCTGCCGTGGAACTACAAGCTGATGCAGAAGTGCGGCCTCGACGTTTTGGAGATCAGGAGGTGAAGCTAAAACCCTACAGGAGTCATTCCTTTATTCTGTTTACTTATGGCATCATTAATATACTATTCTAGTTTTTATTAATATTTTTAAATTAATTGTAGTTTTTTTATATTTTCCATTTTTATTTTAATAATTTTGTTGCTGTTTTTTGTCATTTTTA